GTCTTAAGGAGAGGTCAAATGGGTAGCATTCACATACTTAAAAGTCTTTGGTACGTCAGAGGACAGATCAGTACCATAAGCACTGAGAGGCTGCTGTCCTTTTGTGGGTGTTGTTGTTGTTATGTGCTGTTGAGTTGGCCCCGACTCATAGCGACCCCTCCTTGGGTTTCTATGGAGGTAGATTGACCAACCTCCCTTCCGAGGAGTGGCTGGTGGGTTTGAACCGCCAGCCTTCTGGTTAGCAGTCAAGTGCCTTAGGCACTGTGCTACCAGAGCTCCCCTTTTGTGGGTTGTTGTTGTTGTTATATTAGGAGCAAAAACTCCTAACAAGTCTGTTGAACATGGAGTAGGCTCCATTACGAGGTGTTTAAGCAGAAGCTGAGACCATCCATAGGAGACATTGTTGAGGATTTCCATTATTGGGCAAGGGATGGAATTACATGCTTTATGAGGTTCCTTCCAACTTTAGTTCTATGATCTTTGTGTAGAAAGGCCAGAATGCTTTGTGGTTGAGAGTTGAATATAATTCAAGATTCGTTAGCCTTTTTCTCAGCAAAAGAATTAAGGAGGCTAATTATCTTTCCTAACGTAAAATCATATCCTCCTGGGTCACACAGGAGTTCGTTTGTTTTGATGCCCAGGGAACTTTTAAACAAGGAATCCTTTCCTTTACTGAGTTAAAATTTTGAAATCCTAGAATCTTCCAGAATTCCACTTTATTTCTTATTGAAAAATAAGAATAGCTAGCATCAAACAATAAAAGTATGCCAGTTATTGTACCAATCACTTTTCATTATTCTGTCTAATCCTTGCAACAACTCATTGAAGTAAATATTATCCCCATTTTACATATGAGGAAATGAAGGCAGAGTGGTTTTGTGGGCTCAGTAACCATAGTGGGCTAATAAGAATAGCTGACCTTCAGAGAGGAAGAGTGGAACTCTGGAGCTGACCCTCCAAGTGTGTTCTCTTGTCTGTTAGGTGACCAACTCAGCCAGATGTTTTTAGCAAAGAGCCCTGGGTGTCCATCTAGTGTTTGACGTCTCCAGAGTCATGCAGCTGAGTGAAAGGTTGGCGCCGGCTCTGTTTTTCTCTTAGGTGATCCCCAGCCATTGTGTGAGTGACACGGGCAGCCAGGGTACAGCTGCTAGCAGTTTACTGGCGCAAATGGTCCAGGATCAGATAAAGAGGCAGGCTCTCCCAACCTGCTTCTCAACAAGGGAAGTCTTCCAGAAGACTGCTCCGGAGACCCATCACTCACAGGCAGACTTTCTACCTCCCCCCTCCAGGCCCCACAGGCCTTTGTTTTTCTTCCAGAAAGAACATCACTGATAATTGCAAGCAGGCTCCCTCTTCCTCCTTGTCTGCTCCCCCCTACTTGCTCTAGGTGTGGAGAGACCACCAAAGGTCTCCAGCCAGACCAGGAAATCTGCCTAATCCTTTGTTGAGGGGTAATTGTTGTCTGAGATTCCTGGGGCAGGATCTGTCCTCCCCTCAACCCTTTTGGTTGGTTTTTAAACTGAGACCCCTGGCAGATCGCCCCTGGCAGAAATGTAAAATGTGGCTAAAGGTTACTTGTGCAATTGTCTTGTCTAGTTAATAACCATGTTGGTTAGAGCGAAGATAAGAAGAAAATCAGTTCTCCATAATTTCACCACTTAAAGAATAAGAACAGTTACCATTTTAGCCTATGTTGTAGAAGCTCCAGTTGAGAGTCAGACCTGGCCTTCCCGCTTGTTAATTAGTGATATGGATATCTTAAACTCTCTGTACCTGTTTCTCCAGCTATGGAATAGGAATAATGTTAATGTCTGCCTCACACAGTTGTTGTGAGGATTTAGTAAGAGAACATTTAAAAAGCCCTTAGGGCAGTGGTTGGCACTTAGAGTAAGTGCTCAATGAATGTCAGCTATTATTAAAAGGGAGGCGCTCTGGTGGTGTAGTAGTTAAAGCATTGGGCTGCTACAGAAAGTCAGTGGCTCTAAGCCACCAGCTGCTCTGTGGGGGAAAGAAGAGGCACTCTCCTTCTGTAAAGATTTATAGCCTTGGAAACTTCCTATGGGGCAGTTCTACTCTGTCCTAAAGGGTTGCTATGAGTCAGAATCAACTCAAGGGCAGTGGGTTTTTGGTTTGGTATCATATTACTGGAGCCAGCAGGGAGTACCTAGGTAGCACAAATGATTTATGTGCTCTAACTGAAAGAAATCCTGGTGACACAGTGGTTAAATGTTCAATTGCTAACTGAAAGTTCAGTAGTTCAAACCCACCAATCACTCTGCAGGAGAAGGAAGTGGCAATCTGCTTTGGAATTACAGCCTCGAAACCCTGTAATTCTGCTCTGTCCTATAGGGTCACTATGAGTTGGAATTGACTTGACGGCAATAGGTTAAGTTTGGAATAGTGCAAATAATATGTGCTTGATTATTAGCCAAAAGGTTGATGGTTTAAACCCAGCTAGAATTGCCTTGGAAGAAAAATCTAGCAATCTGCTTCCGAAAGGTCACAGCCTTGAAAACTCTGTATAGCAATTCTACTCTGTACACATGGGATTGCAGTGAGTCAGAATTGACTTGATGGCATCTAACACATCATCATCATCATCATCATCATCATCATCATCATCAACTATTGTTAAAAATGGTGATAATACAGAACTGTGCTGTAGTATTCAAACATCTATGCAGGTACCAAGTGCAGGCAACACTGCATTCTGGAACACTGAATAAAGTCTGCTTCTTCCCATTGAGAGCCTGGAACTTTTCAGTAAGATGACCAGGTGGTGATGAAAGTTGCCCTCAGAACATAGCAGCCATGGTGGTATTTCCTGGCCTGACCTCCTTAGGGGTCCAGTGCTCATTGGAAGGACAAGCCTGAAAGAAGAGAGTTGGTCACAGTGGGCAAGGCCCTAGACTCTTGCCCCAGCACAAAACTACTGTCTTGCATTTGATAACTCATCAGTATCCTTCTCAGAGGCCAGAGAGTTCAGATACAAATTCAGTCTAACTCAAAATTCAGATAGAAATTATTTTCCAATAAATGGTCCTAGGCCAACTTTCTGACCTTTATGACCTTTATGATATGACCACTGTGATAAAGCTTTTAAATATACATACATAAGGGAAATATTAATGACTCTTAATGTTTTTCACTTTTTGGATAGGTTTTAAAACATCGATTTGCCTTTAGGTATAAATAAAACATCCAGTCAGGAAGGAACACCATAATAATGAACAAGATTCAGAGAGCAATACTTGGCAAACTACCTTTTATGGTTTATTTATATATCTTTTCCTAAGGTCTAAAAAGAGATGCTGGCTGTTTTTGTTTGAGGTTTTATTCTGTATCATTAGTTGCTGTCTCTGTCTAAAAAAGTTCTTGTTCAATGAAATGTTCTTTATCCCTAATCTGGGTTGATTTGAGGGATAAATGAGCTTTTCTTTGCAGCTTCTCACAAGCAGTGAGCTGAGGTTCTTTAACGCTTCAGTTTTCAGAACCTGGCTCTCCTGCTAAGGTAGGAGCAGTACTCTCTGAGGTTCCCTGCTAATCCTTGCTGCATAATTCTTCCTAAAAGAAAACCTGGCACTCAGAAAACAATTTGAATTCTTTTCCAAGCATTACAACCATTGTGGCTGTATATGGGGTAAATGGCTTCTTGTAGGGAAATTCGACTAAATAGATGAGAAAAGACATTTAAAAGGACTTGTGTTTGGAAGGAAGTCCTTGGCACATGCTTTATAGCCTCAGTCACTCACTGAAAAGTTCAAGTCCACCAAGAGATGCTTTGGAAATAAGTCCTGGCAATCTACTTCTGAAAAAAATCAGCCATTGAAAACCCCGTGAAGCACAGTTCTACTCTGATACACATGGGATCGCTGTGAGTCAGAGTCGAGTTGGACTCTGGGGAGTGGGGTTTGGAGGCGAGGTCTTGGGAAGACCTTGCTTGCTTATGTATGTATGTACCAGGTATCTGAGGAAAACTGGAAAATTAGCTGCAGGCTATCCCAGCATACTGTCTTCCCACATAACTGAGTTTGTTTTATAAATGTCAATGTAGTTTTTGTAATATGGCACCTACTCTTTAGTATTTATTGCCTCAATGAAAGCTGTTTCTATGAGTCATGTCAATATTTTTGTTGATGTTTGTGTGTGTGGATGTGTGTTCAATGATTTCTAGGGTGTGCTGAGATTTCCTAGCATTTAAGAGCATTTCCTAGGACTGCCACTAACTAGTGGTGTATTTGTGGCCAGGTTCTTAACTAACTCAAGCATCATTATCCTTTACTGCACCGTGAGGGCATTTGACCAGGTGCTTTCTAGCTATCTAGGTTCCATTCTCTGTCTAGAGTGCTTTTTTTGGGGGGTGGGTGGGGTGGGGGCTGGGTATAGGGTGAGCAGGAAAGACACTGAAATAGCATTTTGATGAAGTGCCTACAGTTGTTGAATTCTTAAAAGGCTGCTAAAACTTTGGTATTTGTTACCAAGTTTCCTCTTAATAATTTTATTTTGTTGCTTTGGTACCACGGCCCAGGCACTATGGCCTTGCCAGACCCAAGTCTTATACCAGGTGTTTCCTTCTGACTTAATGTTCCCTGAGGCAAATTGAATATGTTAATGTTTCATAAGTCAGACTTTCCAACTCCTTAATCACTGTAAAATTCTTGGCTGAGTTCCTGCCGTTTTTATATTCACTATTATTGAAGGTCCTCAATTTGTAGAATATGATTCAGGCGTGGTTTTGTTTGAAACAAACGTTACTGTGGTTAGAATATCCTGAAATTAATTAATTTGTGGGGAAAGAAATGTTGTTGCATATGCCCTTACTTGGCTCATTTAAATCGCCTGCCTGTCAAACTCTTATTTAAATGTGACTTTTAAGTAGAGCGTTTTAGAAAATTGAGCTAAGCCAATTCTCGGTGGCTTTCTTCTTTTTCCTCTCTGAGCATTTCATTTCTTCTAACAATGTTGCATATTTTACTTTGTCTAGGATTCTCAGGAAAGACATGTCTGACAAGATGTCTAGTTTTCTACATATTGGAGACATTTGTTCTCTGTATGCGGAAGGATCGACAAATGGATTTATTAGCACCTTGGGGTAAGAGCACCCAATTTCTCCCAGCAGGATTTATTAAGCCATTATAACATCAGCTTAAAAACGATTTCTCTAAGATATGAATGTTGCCATTTTACTTGGGCAGTTGAAATCATGGATACCAAATCTCATGCAATCTAAGTTTAACCTCTCACACAAAAACATTGTTTTCTGTCAGTTCTGGAAAAGTAAAGCCTCATTAATTAGAACTCATTAATTCAGAATTTATATATAAAGGAGAGTGCTAAATATATGGAATGAAATTTTAAGTTAATATTTATAGACCCCAAGGGAGTACAATTTAGCTCTGTGAAAACTCCTATCTTCAAATAGTGACTTGTTTGTAGTATAAGCAAAGACTACAACTTCTTGGATGCTTATCTGTCTTCTTTGAAGAAGAACCTTTCTTAGTTTAAATGGCTGTGTGTTTTCGAAAGTTGTAAATTGCACAAAGGTCTATAATTCAGACTTTTGTTCTTTTGTGTTTCTTAAAATCTTTACCTAATTTTAGGGTGTAAATAAATATATCCCATAATGTACTAATATGATTATGTTATCTCTCCTTCTCATTCTGTTGTCTAGAAGAGGTCATAAGTAGCCCTAAAGACAGACGGAAGCAGAATAGAGAATCAAGATGGTTAACTCTAGAATAGTCATGAGTGATCTATAGTGCCTTTGTGTAGAAAGTAGTTGTTTGGCCTTGGGTGATATTGTTGAATTTGGCAAGAGCCATTCTCAAAAATGGCCGATAGCTTCTCCAAGAACCTCATTCTTACAACAGTCAGCACTTTCCTTCTAAATCATAGCCATTATTTAAAGCATGCTTTTTCTCTCTTTGGGCCAAATGTGTGTTCCCAGGCTCTCATTCAGGTTAATCCACTTTCAAAGAGCAAGTTATTCCAGATACAGAATTCTAGGTCAATGGGGCCCTGTGCTCTCACTGAATGAAACTTGCATTTTTAAAAATCATTGATAAAGGAAGTCATCCGTGACTGCTTGATCACCATATCTATTCACCATGTCTCAGTCCTTATCTTTTTTGACTTCTCTACACTTTAGGCCACTGTTCTGATTACCTAGTGCCGCTCTGACAAGAGTATACCACAAATGGGATGGCTTGAACAACAGGAGTTTATTCTCTTACAGTTTGGAGGCTTTAAGTTCAAGTTCAAAGTGCCAGGCTCCAAGGACTGGGTGAAAGCCCTTCAGCCTTGGGCTTCACTTCTGCATCCAGCACCTGGCTTGCTGAAGCTAGAGGTGTTTCTTCACTCAGACAGCTGCTGGCTGCTAAGTCTGAGAAGCCCAAGGTTGACAAATAAAATAGCATAGTCCCGATGTTACCAAACCACACAGCAGGCCATTAATTTAAGTCCATTGTAAGTCCCAAAGTTGGCAGAGCATGGCAAGCTGCTGAACAATGACATGGCTACATGCAGGGTCCAAGCATGCCATAGGCTAGAGACCATTCCCAAAGCTGCTTGTGGTAGATCCCACCATGGAGTTGACTGCCAGTCTCATCATGGGGAATAACTACCACCAACTGCCAGCCACTCAACTGGGCCCAGCCAAGTTGACACACAAACATAGCTACCACAGCCACCTCCTAGCAATTTTTCTTCTATAGCTTTTGGCAAAGAGGCCTTCTGCTTCTCTGCCTCTTCTTTTTTCTTGGCTGGCTTCTTACCCTCTCCATCCTGTGTGGTTTAGTCTTTCATCCTCTTCCTAGTTTTCAGCAACAACAATAATAAATAGCAATAGTAACCACTCTATGTGAGTGTTTACTGTGTGCCAGGCACTGTGCTAAGTACTGGACAAACATCTCCCTTTAATCTTCAAACATTTTAAGGTGAGAACTAGCATTATCTCCGCTTGATAGAGATTAAACTTCTGAGTCCCAGAGAGGTACAGTCACTTGCCCAAGGTTTCACAGCTCAGAAGACTAGAGACTCCAAAGCCAACACTGTGAGCAGTTACCCGTATGGGGTTGGCTTTCCTTTCCCTAGCTTCCCCAAACACCTCTTTCTCTGGTTGAATTTGATGGCCACACTCCTTACTGTCTGCTCTCAGCTTTTATCTTGATGCTTCGTTAAACCTTTGGCCTATCATATACCCATCTTTTCTTGCCACTACTTTTTTCCTCTGTGGTCCAGATTTCTGTTACGGGCATTGCTGCCCTCCAGGGACCAACCAAGCTTACTTTCAGGCAGTTACTGAACCAGCCCCTGAAATCTTAGTACCTGTTTTCCATTCCTCCCTTCCTTCCAGAGCATCCATTCTTAAAATTCCTATGAGTACAAACTATTTGCTTTATAAGCGTTTTCCTCAAATATTACCAGTACTAGTTGACTCCTACTCATGGCGACTGCATGCATATCAGAGTAGAATGGTGCTCCATAGGGTTTTCTTTTTTTTATTTAACTTTTTATTGTGATTGGGTGAAATTTTACAAAACAGATTCCTTTTACACTCAACAGTTCATACATATGTTGTTTTGTGACACTGATTACAATCCCTACAACATAACGGCTCTCTTCTCACTTCCTCCCTATAGTTACCCTTTCCCTGTGTCCTTCTTGCTTATGCATTCCTGCCTCCCTAGCTTTCTCCCTGCATAAATGCTGCCCTTCTGATCTCCTGTGGTTGATTGTCCTAAAGAGTGCATCTCTCTTGTGCAGGTGTTCAGCTCATAGGTCTGTCAGTGGCTGAGAGGTAAGCCACAGGAGAGAGTTCAATTCCAGGCTTGAAGGGTGACTTGGGGCCATGGTCTCAGGGGTTTCACCAGTCTCTATCAGACCAGTAAGCATAGTCTTTTTTTTTATGATTTTGAGTTTTGTTCCACATTTTTCTTCAATTCTATACAGGATCTCCAATTTTGATCCCTTTCTAAGTGCTTGGCTTTGGTAGCTGGGCATCATATAGTTTTTCTGGTCTCAGGGTCATTTAAGCTGAGGTTGTCATGGTCTATTAGTCTTTGGATTAACTGTTTCCATGTGTCTTTGATTTTTTTCACTCTTCTTTGCTCTGGATCCAGAGAGACCAGTAGTTGCATCTTAGGTGGATACTTGCAAGCTTTTAAGACCACAGTTGCTGCTCACTGAAGTAAGATGTAGAACAATATTTTTGTATACTATGTTGTACTGCAGGGATCCAGGTGAGGAGAAGGAACTCAGGCACGCCCAAAGCAGCAGGGTGGGAGAATGGGAGAAAGGGGATTAAAAGGCCCAGGAACCAGGACAGAGAAGCAGTTAGCCGCCGGGATCCAGATGAGGATAAGGAAATCAGGCACGCCCAAAGCAGCAGGGCGGGAGAGCAGGAGAAAGGGGATTAAAAGCCAGGAACGTGGACAGAGGAGCAGTCAGCCGCGGGGACCCAGGTAAGGGTGGTACGAGAGGTTTCCAACAGGGAGACAAACCTGTCTGTCAGTGTGTCCTACTGTAGTGACGTGTTGATGTGAGTTTGGAGGCTGAACCACTGGTGTTTCAAACCCAGCGGGATGCACATGGTGCATAGGTGTTAGCCCAGCTTACAGACTGAGACAGACTAGGAAGAAGGAAGAGGCCATCCACTTCTCAAAGAATTGGTCAGGGAAAACCTTATGAATAGCAAAGAAACACTGTTTGATACATTACCCCACAATTTTATGAATAGTCCGGTTAGGTTAGAAGGCTCTCAAAATAGGACTGGGAAAGAGCTGCATCATC